CAGGAAATAAAAAATAATGTTTAGGGGCTGGCAAGGTAAATCAGCAAGTAACAGTGCTGGTCTTCAAGTCTGGCAACATGGGTTCGATCACCAGATCCCGCTTGGCACTAGGAAAGAACGGACTCCGACAATTGTCCTCCGACCAACACACGTACACACTGTGGTGTGAGTGTGCCTGCACACACACACACACACACACACACACACACACACACAGACTGACAGACAGACAAAGTAAAATGTAAAGTCATCATTTAAAAAAGATTTATGAGGAAACAGTTAAGAATGAAAAAATGTGTATACGAGGACGACATATTTTAGGTATTTGTGGGAAAAAAAACAATATCAACACAGTGACCATTATCTATATCCCTGAGAATGCAGATAATTGTCTGAGAAAGTGCATGGAGTTTGGGTTGAGAAGAAGATCAATATTAGCCAAGATAAAAACTGGAAAATAGCCAGGTGGTAGTGGCACACACCTTTAATCCCAGCACTTGTGAGGCAGAGGCAGGTAGATCACTGTGAGTTCGAAGCCAGCCTGGTCTACAGAGCGAGATCCAGGTTAGCCAGGGCTACACAAAACGAAATGAAACAAAAGAAAACAACTGGAAAATACCCAGAAATATCTTCTTGCCAACTGAGGAGCATCTTTTTCCCACTTATGTTCGTTCCATGTACAGAGAACAAAACATGGCGACGCACAGTCTGACAGGGGGCAGGGTCTCTTCATCTGAGTTCTGGGTGAGCTTGGGAGTGGTGTCATCTTGTTGGGGAGACTGTGGGGTCCTCGTGGAGAGGCTGATGGAATGGAAGATGACGGGGAGAGGAGGCTGGGGTGTGGTCTTGGATGGTAGTGGCACCTTCTTCCACGTCCTGATGCTCCCCGCATCATTTAAAGGAGATTTATTTATTATTATTTTATGTGGGGGGTGTTTTGCCTCCATGTGTGTCTGTGCGTCATGTGCATGCAGTGAATCCCCTGGAACTGGAGTTACAGATGGTTGTGAACCTCCACGGTGGAATTGAACTCAGGTCTTTTGCATGAACAGCAAACGTTCTGGGCCATTTTGCTTTGAGCCATCTCTCCAGCCCCCCACCCGCCCCTTAAAATATTTATTCAGTTTATTTTTTTAATGTGTGTGTTTTGCCTGCATATATGAACTGCGTGTGATATTCAGTTTATTTTATTTTATGTGTGTGTTTTGCCTGCATACACGAACCACGTGTGTGCTTGGTGCCCATGGAAGTCAGAAGAGGGCATTGGTTTCCCTGTAACTGAAGTTACAGATGGTTGTGAACCACGGTGTGGATGCTGGGAACTGAGCCTCAGTCCTCTGCAAGAGTAACAAGTGTTCTTAACTGCTGAATTATCTCTCCAGCCCTTCCCCTCATCTTTATAATAATGCATCAGGGCCTTCCAAACTCTTCAGCAGTCATGAATATCCAGTGGAGGCAGCTACAGGGACATGACCCTCAACTTAGCACTGGAATGACCCCCATGCAAGGCTGAGCATGTATGCTTGGGTTCAAGTCTGTCGGTGGTGACCAATGTCTCTCCCACTCGTCCTGAAAGGCCAGGTCAGAAAGATTGCGGAATGCATTTCACAGAGCACATGCTATGATGTTCTCTCAAAAGCGTGTTAGAGCTGGCCAGGCCATCGTGTCTTCAGATCTGGTCCTCCTTCATTCCATATCTCTGAAAGAATGGATCTGCCACCCACAGAGCTGGGAACCAGGAACCTCAGCCTTCCCCAGACTCCTCTCTCCTTTTGCTACCCTCATCAATCAATCAACCAGTCAATCAACCGACCACTCACTCACCAGGTCCTATCCAGGATGGCAGGACCTCATGGACATCTAGCACCCTCTCCCAGCCTGCTGTGTTATGCTAATTCACACCAGTTCTTGCCCTGGTTCCTGTTATTGCTTTGGGGTTTTTTGTTTTTTGGGTTTTTTTTTTTTTTCTTATTTGTTTGTTTTTGCTTAGTGGCAATCCAGCTGCAGATTACTGTCCCAGGTGGCCCCTGTTGAAATACTTACCATCTTGCCTGGCTTCTGGGTAAATCAAAGATATCCCCTGGGCTTACTGTTCTCCCCAAGCTAGCTCCCAGCATCCTGTCACTGTTGCTTTTGTGAGTTTGGGCCCCCCCTTGCTCTATGTAGGGAGTTCAAATATCCTTTTGAACATTCTGCTCTGTTCTGACATGGCTTTATTCCTGAAATTTTATTTTAGAGCAGCTTTAATTTTGTCAGAAAATTTGATGGAGGGCCGAGGACATAGTTCGGTGGTAGAGTACTTGGCTAGCATGCACAGGCCCTGGGTTCAGTCTATAGTATCTCACAAGCAAGCAAGCCAGCAAACAAACTCAAACCAAAAACCAACCACCCGACCAAACAGACAGCGCAGAAGGAAGAGTGGGAAGCAGAGAGAGAGAGAGAGAGAGAGAGAGTTGCTATGCACATCCCTAAGGTAGTTAGTTCCCAGGTCCTCCAATCCCTCTTGTGTGTTAACGTCTGTGACAGCCAAAAAGCCAATATTGGTGCATTGTTACTAAGTCCATAGTTACATCAGAATGCTGCATTTTCTGTGACCTGTACTCACTGTTACTGTATCATACAGAATAGTTTCACTGTCTTAAAAATACCCCTGGCTCTCCCTGTTCATCCCGCCCATATATATCCTAGCCTGTGGCAATGATTATTCCTGGCTTTTCATGTGTCAAAATGTATTCCTTTAGGACAGATTCATATCAGTCATATATGTAGATGCTACCAACTTGTAATAGCCCCCATATCTTCGTATCATCAATGTGCTGAACACAATCCCTCCCTCCCTCCCTCCCCCC